CAGATCTGAAACTTTAGAAAGAACAAAAAGAAATAATGGTCCGATACTAGAGTTGCCTGCTTTCCTTTGGACCCCCTCTAAATAAAGTTCGATGCCATTATTCTCCTGGAAATAATGGTCCTGTCGATTGGGAAAACAGCTGTTTTAGCTGTTTGATGTAGATCTCATGATCACAACAGTTCTGATAATACGACCTATTTATTGTTTGGATTATTAAAGATGTTTTTGATCGGATACGGGTCTGTAGGTTGAACATTGACTCCGTTTTTTGAGAGACTAGATATTTTTTATACTCAGTGTCGTATATAATCATGACGCCTGCTGCGTGCTCTTTTCTCCTCTGGAATCTGTTTAACCTGTATTCGTAACGAAAATCAAAGAAGGATACGTAACCTGGGATGGGATGTCTCGTAGCGGATACTGGCCTTCTTTATGGGAGAGCCCAAATAAGTAGTTTTACATATGGGGATGGCCCAATGGCTGTCGGTGCTTTCTAAGTCCCAATAAGATGAGAGCCCATTTACGTACCAATACCAAGTTAATATTTCTCGTCAACCCAATCGCTAAGAAAGATCTAGTGTTGGACCGAGTTCTACAAAAAATATATATATATATATATAAAATCATTAGTCCAATCTCAGCTGCACATTCACAGAAATCCAATGGTTGAGAATGAAGTCCGAGTTGCCAACATTATGTCAAGAAATGAGTTAAAAGAAATCATTTACTATCAGGAACAAGTGAAAGAAACGCGTTCGAGAGATATGGAAACAAAGTTGCATAAGTGGACCCTTGCGAGCAACAAATATACCTTATAAAGAAAACCTATGTAACTTCAAAAATAGATTTTCGGGCTAATAGCTAATCCTAGCAATTAGTCAAATTTTATTATCTCTGTGTTTTTCTCCGTCCTTTGATAGCCACTGGTTTCCAACTTGGCAGTTAGTTGATTGACAGAATCTTGATCCACCGTCGGTTCCACTAACATCACAAGTTATTAATTATACTTTCTTCAATTCCCTTGCTCATCATCTCTTCTAAACCTTGAGGAGTTTCTCCGTTGGGTTTCAACATCTTTGGACCAAATTGTCCACTGGCAACACACAAAACGTGGCAAGATGTGCATCTAGGATGGAACGGGCATTTAGGTTAGGTTCCATCCTATTCCAATCCAATCCAGACTCTCCTTTTCATAGCAATCAATAAGATTGAGCCACTAATAGAAAAGAAAACCCTACAGATAGAGGAAATTACAAAACCTCACAGATCATGCAGCAGTACCTGTGGAGATTCTCTGTTCGGGTGGGGAAGCGGAGGTATTTTAGAACCTACGGTTGATATTGTCACATTTTGGGAACGAGCATGAGAACATAAACGTGGAATTGGTGATCATACACATGCAATGCTTTATATCTTCATTGATTAATTGCTTTCTACTCTCCCTCCTGTCTAAGTAACATTTTATTAAAAAGAAAAACTATATGCTAACAAGAAAAGTTTTTTAACACTTTTAAAAGAACATCATATGGGGAAACAGCATCTAAAACAACCTGCACTACCCTAATATTTCAACTTATTAAAGGTGCATTTCACAGCAAGTGTGTTTAAAAATATTTTGAACAAAAGTTGTTTAAGTGTTTAATAAAAATTATTGACATCTTAAAAATAGAAACTAAATACTTAATTAAAATAACTGTTGATATTAAAATTATTAAAAAGTGTCTCAAGATAATAAACTAAAGTTATATATTTCATAAAATAACTGTAAACATTAAAATAATATAAAATATGTAATTTATATGTACGAACATAATATAACAAATATATTATATTTACTTAACAAAAAATTAATTAAATTATTTTTTCTACCACAATTTATGAAATAAAAATTAGTAATTATTTAATTTTAATAAAATTTAAATTTTTTGTCAGGACGGATTGAAAGTGGCGATAGAGTTTGGGAGGCGATTGTGGATGGGTGGGTGGGCAATGTGCTGCAGGGGTCTGTGTCGCAATGGATGAAGAGCATGCGACAAACGCTGGATGGTGGATTTAAAAGCTAATATTTTCAAAAATTTTGTATTTAAATCTGTAGTTTTAACTTTTATTTTACTTAAAAAAATACTTTTAATTTTATTTATTTAGTTAATAAAGTAAACCAAGATACCATGTTATTAGAATATTTCAATTTTAGGCATGTGATTCTCTCAAAGATAGAAGCAGATAATTATGTCCTTTTGTCAACATGCCATGACCCATTTATCGTGTTAAAACAGTAATTTCATCCCTCGATTGGATAGTTACTGTTAAACGAAGAGAATATTTCAATTTGCACTTTTGTGAGAACGACAAAAGAGCCGGAGGGAAAAACCACGAAGAAGGGTACGACTTACAAGAATCAATGCCCCACAATATCTTGGTCTGCTCTCACTGAATCTTCTACGGCCAGAACCATTGTACGGTATGCAAGCGTGCAAATTTTATAAATGCATTTTTATTTTTATTTTTTAAAAACAAAATAAATGATTGGGGAGTCTCTATCTCAACCTCCGGAGCAAAAGATCTTTCGACAACTTGAGCAGAAAATTCACAGGCAATTAAAATTGGATTGGGAATGCCAACTGGTGAAAATCAAACCATATGATCGAACCATATCTCGTCAAAATTATTTAAGCCAGAGATGTATTATCGCCTAAAATTGGCTCTCTTTGAGCCTTTTCGAAGTTGGAATCGCATTTAAGAAAATGGTCCAATCACACCCAAACAAACTTGTCATCCTTCTTTGGAGGCTGTAGAAATCTCATTCACACAACAAGCATTTCGATATGCATATTCCCTCCCTGCATAGTTCATTAGTCGTTAACCCTTTTTCCTAAACTAAATCCAACTAACCAATGTTCCTTTTCCCTAATTCTCTATTTCTCTTTTTTTTTTTTTTTTGTCCAAAGTTTCCATGTAGAAAGCAATTCTTTATGCTTTTGCGGCGGCCGGCTAGCACTCTTTTCCATTGGTATAAGATATAGATTCCTGGGGCTATGTGGCCTCTAATTTAAGACCCGAAAGTTCAGTGGTCCTTGAATCAGGTCTTCCGAGCTCACTAAATCATACATAAGCAAAGTTACAGCTTAAGTCATACGAGAGTCCATTGTTGCTCAACTATTCCCACTTATAGAAACCACTGGTAGAAGGACAAGTCATAGAAGAGAGGAGGAATTCGCAGATATTACTTCTAGTGGGTAGACGAATAATAAAGATTCAAATATCAGCAGAAAAGCGTATCCCAAAGCATCAACTTTTTATTTTTTTTCGTACTGATTCCTAGAAAGTTTCTCAAGTAACTTTCAACCAATGATCACAATTAGCCCCATTACCTTGTGGCCAATATCCATGACAATGACTCGTGCAACTTGACGCTAGAGGACATACTTTCAATGAGTGCTAACAAATCTACTATCTTTTAATAATATTACGAGTTTGCTATACACACGGAGACTAGTCTTACAAACACAAAAGCGCCGTGGCCCTTTATCATAATTAAACACATGATGATTACTTAATAAAAACATAGAATTCTGTAATCATATTTGAAAAATTTTCATAGATCCGCTCCTTCCAAAAAAAAAAAAAAAAAAAAAAAAAAACATGAAAGGCAAAACTACAAGAGTGCATCATGCAGGTGCATCCCAGAGCCTCCGCTGCAACGGAAAATAAAAGCTAGATAAATTCAGTTCTCTTATCTGTCCTCCGTAGTCCTCTTAATGAATATCAATAATTTTGCACCTCAGACACAAGTTAGACCTCATTCTATCATTCAAAGGTCGTAAGTCGTGAAAGAATCATAAGCCATGCATCTCCTCAGCCAAAAAAAAAAAAAAAAAAAAAACTTCTTATCATTATAGCTCTTAATTTTGTTGAACTGGCTCCAAGAATTCCAGTAGTAGTGAATAAATTTCACTATAGGCTACTTGCAAGATTTTAGAGAACATAGGCAGGCAGGCCCATATAGGCTGGGGCTATTCTAATCAACTTGTAGTCTAAATCCATGGTATCCACCACCGGCCTATGAATTTTGATGCCCTTTAAAGATATTTTTATTTATTTTTATTCCAAACAGATTTTTTGAGCCTCTCCCGATAAACAGTCATTTTCTTGATTGAGATACTTCCTGAGTAAGTGGATTATGGATAATGAACAGTTTAAATAGGCTAATCCCTGTTTTAGGGAAACAAAATCTTACCAATAAAAATTGCCTTATGGGGACATTGATCAAGCTGACGATCCATACATGCATAACACGAATTAATTAAGATGTTATTTGCAATATGCAGATGTTTGGAATAAGAGACAATATGTAACAACATGATAATAACTCCATTATTTTTAGAAATTAATCATTAACTCCAGTTGGAGTCTTGATATTCTACCGTAGCACATGACCTGGTAAAAGCTAGTGTGGAAATTTCTCCAATGAGTAGCAGCAGGCCCTATTTGTTAGTCAGAAGCAAAGAAAACAAACTAGAAGACATTTGATGCGTAAGCTCTAGAATAAATTCTGCTCAGACCAGATTTTTCATTGATGTTTTTGTGTAACACATTGAAACACAAGAGACGAGAAAAGTTAAAACCATATGAGACACAGGTTTCTCGCATCCATTAGAAAAAAGATTCTACCACATTATTGCATTTAGGTTGCCCATCACTGAATTCATATTAATTCTGATATGATTATGGATCTTCACCGCTGACAGGTACCACGGATGGAACAGATGTATGGGCCAAACAAGCTCCAACCATTTGTCCACCCCAGATAAGAAAAACCTCAATCACTTTTCCTTTTACATGAAGGAAAACTAAGAGGAAAAAATATTTTCCACCTGTTATATATTAAAATTAAAGAACAAGGGCCAAACTGTATGAGCCAATCTTCGTGACTCCAGCACACCATCCTAAAGTACGGCTAACAACAAAGCAAAAAGAACGCCCACCTGGATATCCTGTATCATTTATAGTTGCATTGCGTTTTGGACCAACTGGTATTTGCTTTTGAAGTGTTCGGTACATTTAAGGACTAAATTCTTATAGCACGGAATAGTTTATCTCCAGTTGTATCACCTATTTATCATATTTACTTCCATTCCTAACGTATTAGAGTTCTATAATTATATATATTGGTATCTTCAAGATGATAATTAACAGATTATGTTTACCATTTGCCACTGCATTCATCACTCTTCAGAATAAGAGAGTAAGAACTGAGCAGCCAATACTCATGTTTTTTCAATTTTGAGTGATCACCAGTGAAGATCAGAAATGATGATCTCATTGCACAATGGGGAAAAACGAAAGGAAATTCCAGTGCAAAATAAATAGGTATCTCCAAAAGTAAACTTATTGACTAAAGACGCTTGCATGAAAAATATCCAAGAAATGATCTTGTGCAGAGACTAACTAGAAAAAGAATAGAGTGCTTAATATGCCTGCTAAGAAAATTTTAATTGGAAAATCAAACATCCATAAAGGGGTTCCAACTACTGCCGAAAGAGCAGGTAAGATGTGTTGACCATTCCTGCGAGAGAGGAAGTAAAACAAGATAATTGTTGTACGGGCAACGCTAGCCAGCTAGAATGCTTGGAATATTGTTCAGGAGAGAGTATTGCTTACAGGATCCCATATATAATGAAGAAAGTGAAAGAGTTCCTTTGCCGTGGGACTTTTTTGGAGAGAATATATGGACTATCGTGCACACGTGAAAGTCGTAGCACGTTTAGGGAATTTTTTCGTGGTTCAAGCATGGACCCATTTAAGTCGTTCTTGATGCAGAACAAAAACATTAGAGTAGTATGCAGAAAATCCTGGCAGAAGTTCACCTTCGGATTTCTGCCTTGTTGCTTTCCTTGTTAGCATACTTTTCTCCTCAAGCTTCTGCCACAGTAAATTACCTTACAGTCCTGGAAGAAGCTACCATAAACCAAACCACGTGAATTATGCTTAAAAATGTATTATTTTAGCGTGGAAAGGCATTTTTGGGGCTTTATAGGTTATACTGTTTTTAGAATTTCTGTATAGTGGAGTTGTCCACGTTACTAGAACTTAATGTAGAAATTCTTTAGTGCAATAATATGAAGACTGTAATAAAGAAAGAAAAGGACTTAATTCTGTTTATAAATTATTATTGTTGTTCAGGGTAATACTCATTTTTACATTTTTATTCTTGTTCTTTGTCCGGTGTGGATTTGTGGTTCCTGCGAAGACAAATCATTGAAATTCTACTACCCTTTGCAAGATTTCTAAGCCAACTGGCTCTACCCCACCTTACCCCCCTCCTCTACTCCGCCTATAAAGAGCGGGCATTGCCACCTCAATGCGCATATCAACCCTCCTTACTAGTAGCCTGCTTCCTTTTGACTCTATACACCCTCTAATCTTTGCTTTTTTAGCCTTCGCAGTTCATAACAGAACTATCATTGGTAGTGATTCTCACAAGCATTAAAGAGCATCATCCTTCAAATAATTAATACCTCTACCTAAGCTTCCACTATCTATATCTTAAACTAAGGATGGCATCTAGTTCAATGTCGGCTCATGGCTCCGGCTCTTGGACTGCCAAGCAAAACAAGGCCTTTGAGAAGGCTCTGGCAGTGTATGACAAGGACACGCCTGACCGCTGGTATAATGTTGCCAGGGCTGTGGGTGGGAAAACAGCAGAGGAAGTGAAAAGGCACTATGAGCTCCTCGTTGAAGATGTCAAACATATCGAGTCAGGCCACGTGCCCTTTCCGAAATACCGGACCACTGGAGGGAGCATGAGTGAAGAGGAAAAGAGGTAGTATAATATAAGCAGCGCACAGTACGTATATATTTTTTTATTTTGGTTCTTTTTCTTTTTCTACAAAGAAAGAAACCCCACAATATCACCTGAGCAAATTAAGCGGAATAGAGGGATAGCCTCCTAACCTGCACAGCATCCCTTATTAGCGCCTAGTATTTCCTATGGCTACATTCTGCACCGAATAAGTAGAGACTTACATGTTTGCTTTTTATATAACCATGCGATTCCACCATTAAAGGAAGCGAAGTCTTATAATAGGACCTAGCCTATTATCCGATTATCTTAAAACTTAAAAGGGGTATAACGCCGAACAGTTTTATCCTCCTAAACTTTACAGTCATTTTTTTTTTTTTGACTCCGCACAGTAAGTAATAATTTGGTGCATATATTTAGCTGTATTTTCTAGCTCGACTGATAATAATTTGGTCAAAAACGAGGAAAGCACTTTCAGAATCTGAACCAAACAAAGGCTTGGTCAGCAGGCACTATCTACATCAATACCAAACTTTCCCTTCCCTTCAAGGTTACAAATAGAAATCCTAATTTTCTTTTCCTCCTCAGTTACTAACAAGCAAAGTCCTCTCAATAAAAATCAGAAGTAGATCCAAAGTATGTTATCTTGCAATCAGTTTTCACCTGGCATCTTAACTCAACTATACATATCACTATCGTGAATTTCTTCTCTAGTCAACTACTAAAAAATGTCCTGTTCTTTTCGTCAGATTATTAATTATTATAAATAAGTATAGTTCTCTTTTTATTTATTTTTTTCAAATTTCCTTTTGCAGGATGAAAAATCTGAAGCTGCACTAAGAAGTTTTCCTGTCACCTAATCAACAATAAAGATCTACATATAATCTACTCTTATCATTACTTAAAGGATGCATTATAAAGACAGTACCTATTTGAGAATTGCCAACCGGTGATTCTGGTCTTATTTCTTCATCTTCTCCGTTCTTGTGCCAACTCTTTGTCAAGTATTCCTCTATTGTCACTGCAAATCCATCGTGTATCAAGAGATGAGCATCGCAATTTTCTTTTTCCAAGTCTTATGATGTGTAACAAATTCGCTACATCTGCAATATATAAGTTCCACGTTAGCTTTGTTAAAATCAGCAGTTCTCGATAAAAATCACGCAATACAGAGTAAAGGAGAATCATAATTAGAGGTGTTAATCGATTTTTGGGTTTATAACCGTATAACTGACCTTGGTGATTTATGATCTGAGATCATTGGAATGATCGCAAAAAAAAAAAAGTTGCTGGTAAGAGTAAAAAGAAATAAGAGATGAATGGCGGGCATTTTGTGCGAGAGAGAAAAAAGGGAAAAGGCGGGAAATTGGAGTTTGAAATTAATTAGTTAAAGGGGTTAAAATGAGTTAAAAAAGAGAAGTGAGATATGTGGCCACAGTATAAAGGCCCTCCTCCATCCACTCGTCTCCGCCTTTTGAAGTTTATATGTTACTTTTTCTGTTTTCTATTAAATTTAAGAAAAAATATCATCAATCATATGACTTTATTATAAATCAGATTCATCTGGGATAATTAGAAAACGTTCTCAGCAAGAACATTTTCCAAACTGATAACAGTTTTTAGATATTCATGTACCATAATTAATTATTAGGGTTGGTGAAATTTATATGTTAATTTGATTTAGACTTTATTTCAAAAAAAAAAAGAAAAAAAAAAAACAAAACAAAACAAAAATATTGTAATCAAACTTATAAAAGTGGAATAGTATTTACCTGCTGCTACAAATTATTATCAATGCCTTACATTTTTAACATTCGTTTAAACTCAGTCTTTTTCTCCTCACAAGGATAATATCCTTCTAGAAATTAGGTCGAAAACTTGAGAAGCTCACCCATATATGTAGAGAACTACCACAAGTGAATCCATTAATTAGTTTACATATTTTTAGTTCAATTTTAACTTTCAAATAAAGGCTTTAATCTCTGTGCCCTTTTATGTTGTGTTATGTTAACGAAAGGAAATTACATTAACCTACATGTTACCCTAAAAGCCTAATAACTCTGATTACGGTGATTACTTTACGGAAATGCACAGTCTCCCTTAAATTCAAGGTCCAATCATCTTCAAATCTATGCTTGCTGTCTAAAAGAAAAATAACCCAGTTTACTCATAATAACCATCTCAAGCCTTAAACATAAAGAATACTTATTTCTGGTAGTAAGGTTAAGTGAAATTAGGATCTTGTCGGTAGATCAGCCCTAAAACAGTTTACTATACTTAAGAGATTATTGAGCCCTTAAGACAATAGTAAACAAATGCTGCAACCGCCAATTTAATATTCTCATTTCCTATGATCCAAGGACAACTGTATATTTTAAACCTCAAGTCACCACAACAGTAAGTGATTATTAGGTTAACTTGTTGAACTACCTGCTCGTGTTTCCCGGTACTAAATATTTGTATTCCATATCCCAGCCACTATAAATATATACATATATTTATCTATCACATGTCCACAAAACATTTAATAAGAGGACGCAGATTTTAAAATAATTCCCACATAAAATTACGCAGTCTCTTAGGACGACATTGAACCCACAATCAAACTGAAACTAATGATTCCCACAATGACCTAACCAAACTGGCTACCATATTACATCAAGAATACAGTAAATTAAACACGTGATAAGTCATAAGACCCCGACACCCCCCCCCAAATCATGTTTACTTCATATTCTAAATTGATTTAGTTGCTTACACACACACACACACACAATGTTCCACACATAACATGATGTTTTGCTGGCAAGCCAAAACACCAACATGACAACTATACCCACATTGTTCAGAAATCTTCAAAATCAAGCAATGGTCTCATTACCTCATCACCAATATACCATGAGAGAGCTTCATCCAGTTAATTTTGTGATCTGTAGGAGCCACCGACCCACCATCAAATTTATCACAAATTAAAGCTTCAATGAATCTGTTCAACTTCTGGTCAAGGGCATACAAGTACAAAACTCAGATGGACATAGGCCCATCTTGGGAATATGAAAGTTCCATGCAATTTACAGCCAGCTTGATCGCAAAAGATGGTACAGGAATCTAATCTGAAACTGTTGTTTGAAGGGGAAGAGAACTTTCAACTCCGTTAGTCTCAGCACTCCTTCCTGCAACAACTTTTGACATTCCAAACATCTGAAATCCAACCCAAACAATTCAGTCAGAAACAAACATACAAAGATAACATTATAGGAAACAAGTTTGTGAAGAGAGAGCACTACCATCAAAATTTACAAATGGAACAAACCTTTTGGAGGGTCTTCTTGAAGCAGGTTTTGTGTTCATCCATTGATGCATGGACGAACTCATCAATGTGGTCCTTCAAATCCTCAAAGAAAGTGGCATCGTCAGTCTTCTTCTTTCGGCATGAAGTAACAGCAGGCATTGGGGTAGCAGTAGACGACTGCTTTTCAGGTTGACTTCTTTGTGATTCCATTCTAACATTTCCCGTATATGAAACCATTTTGAACCCCAGTCACCGAACCCAAAAAGAAAAGGAAGTTATTTAAAAGTTTTCAAGTGACATTTTCTAACAGCATTCTTTAGCAAACATCCACTCACTCAAAACTAAGTGGCCATAACCATATGGTGATCACTAAAGGTATCAAATTGATTATCAGAGAAGATTAAAATAGAGATGTTATGATTCAATTATCAGGGGCTAAACACTTGAGAATAATAGCACTATTTATGTGCATAAACCGGTTAGGAAAACTGAGACAAAAAGACAAAAGGATTGGGCAATCGTGGTGTTGATTGATTGATTAAATAGCGCACAAGAAGTACAGTGGATTATGTCCTACGACATGGCTAAACAGCCATATATTTCTTTATCATATTATAGAAGAATCGGATTGCTACTTTATATCAATACAGTTTTTTCTTTGTACTTTTTTCTTTTGGAGGATAAACTTATCCACTTAGTTTGTAATATTTTGCCTCTTTTCCAACAAAATTTCTTTATAAAAATAAAAAGTAAAAACATGATTTAAAAATCAACCAAAAAGAATTGAAGTATTCAAGAGCAACTTAGCTCAATTCTATAAACAAAAATGCAAAAACACATACATCCTTAAAATCCAGTGTAAAAAAGGAGTAACATAAATAAAAAGGAAAATATTACATATGGTTGTAGGTTAGGGTTGCACGGCTTTGTCTGTTGAGTTGTTTTGGAAACCTAAACTTTTTCCATTTGCTTACTATAACACATGACTTAAGATTAATGAAGAAAATAAGGAGAGAAAGTTTGTGTGACGAGGAAAAATCCTCTAATTTTCTTCAATATTACATGGGTACAAATGTGCCAAATATATAAGTTTTTGGCCAAGACAAAAAACGGTTAAAAGATACTAACAAAAAACTAAAAAATTAGTGGAGAGAGCACCCAGCTGTCCTGACAATACCAGCTGTCCCTAATGTAAGTATACATGTATATATACATACCTAGATATGAACATTCTACACTCCCCCTCAATTTAGGTTACATATATGTTAAGTAACCCTAAATTGGATACAAAATTATTGAACTCTCTTTTTGGTAGTGCCTTTGTGAGTATTTCACCTGTTTGTTAGCTAGTCAAGATGTATAGGAGTGACACATTAGGACTTTCAATTTTTTTTCTGATGAAGTGATAATCAATTTTAACATATTTAGTTCTTTCATGGTGCACAGGATTCTTGGCCATACTAATAGTTGATTGATTGTCACACTAAATCCTTATTGCAATAGGAGCAGAAAATCTTAATTGTAGTGGAATCTTTTTAAGCCATACTCCTTCACATATTCCACGTGCAAGTGATTGTAATTCAGCTTCAGTACTGCTTCTTAATACAACAGATTGTTTCTGCCTACGCCAAATGACTAAATTACCCCAAACATAAGAGTAGTAACCAGATGTGGATCTTCTATCTGTCACTGATCCAGCCAATCAACATCAGTATAGATCTCAATATCTCTAACCATATTCTTCTGAAAGAATAATTCTTATCCATGTGTCATCTTTAGATACCTCAAAATACGATAAACAGCACACATATGTTCTTCAATAGGTTGAGACATGAGCTGACTCAAAGTACTAACAACAAAGCAGATATCAAGCCTTGTATGAGCCAAGTAGATAAGTTTTCCTACAAACCTTTGATACATTTCTTTATCAACAGGTTTATTGTCACTTTTGAAACCAAGTTTAGTGTTTGTTTCCATAGGAGTCTCAGCAGATTTACAACCAAGCATACCTGTTTCATTCAGGAGATCTAAGATGTACTTCCGTTGAGATATAGAAATTCTTTTTAAGGATATGGCAATTTCTATTCTAAGGAAATACTTGAGCAACCCAAAGTCTTTGATTTCAAATTCTCTAACTTAAAACTCTTTCAATTTCTGAATTTCTTTATTGTGATCACCTGTAAGGATAATATTATCCACATAAACAATTCTTCTCCCTGTGATACAATGATCGAATTGACATTGCTGATATCTCATATGTTTTACTGCCCTGGTGAATTTGTCAAACCAAGCCCTTGAAGACTGTTTGAGGCCATATAGTGCCTTCTTTAATTTGCATACCTTTTGAGGATTCATTTTGAGTCCAGGTAGAACTTCCATGTACACTTCTTCTTCTAAATCACCATTAAAGAAAATATTTTTTACATCAAGTTGATAGAGAGGCCAATCAAGATTAAATACTAGAGAGAATAATACCCGAATTGTGTTGTGTTTGGCAACATGAGCAAATGTCTCTTGATAATTGATGCCATATGATTAGGTAAACCTTTTAGCAACAAGTCGAGCTTTGTAGCGGATTACACTAACCATCAAAATTGTACTTGGTGGTGAAGATTCACTTGCATCCAATAGGAACCTTTCCTAAAGGTAGATCAGATAATTCCCATGTCCCATTTTTCTCAAGGGCTGAAATTTCTTCTTAGATAGCAGCATTCTATTCAGGAATTTTGAGAGCTTCATGAACTATTCTTGGTTCAGGAGGGATGCTATCAAACTTGCTCACAAGTGCATGATACTTCGAAGACAGACATAATCCTATATGGGATGCATAATACAAGAACGAACACCCTTTCGTAATGCAATAGGTAAGTCAATATCATCAGTAGAGTCAGAAATCTCATTACATGTGTTATTCTATGTGCTTGGTCCAGGAGTTGAGTCATGACAATAAATGGTTCAGGTACTTTATCTTTACCTTGAGTTTTGTTTTTCCTTGTATAGACACGCAACTTACTAACTGCAGGTAATGTGTTATCAGTCTCTGTGATAGATTTAGGTTCTTTGGTCATTTCAAGGACAAGATCTTTTTCTAAAGTTGTCAATTGAGGATCTTTTTCTGAAGTTGTCAATGGAGTTTGTAGAGGAGGGATATTCACATCCCGCGAAATATCAAGAGTGAGATAAAAGGGTTAATTCTCAAAGAAAGTAACATACATAGTGTTATAGAATTGGTAGGTTATTAGACAAAAACATTTATAACATTTTTAAGAATTAGAATACCCGACAAAAACACATTTGAGGGCACTAGAATCAAGTTTCCCTCTGAGGTGACTGTGAATGTGAACATAGACAGAACAACCAAAGATTTTAAACGGAATTGTGTGGAGGATATGCGATGTTGGAAATGCTTGAAGTAGTGAATCATAAGGTGTTTTAAACTCAAGGATACAGGAGGGCATTCTGTTGATAAGGTATGTGGCTGTGAGGATAGCCTCTCCCCAAAATATTTAGGGACATTTGTGGTAAACATGAGTGAACGGGATACTTTAAGGATGTGTTTATTTTTCCTTTCGCCCACATCATTTTGTTAAGGGGTGTAGGGACAAGAACCAAAATTTTGTCAAATTTGGACATGTTGATTTTGAGACTGGAGACAGCTTGGAAACAAAGTAAGATGCTTCTAAGATGAAGCAACATACTGGTCTCGGGACGGCAGAATAGTGATGTCAACCTGTTTGTTGTCTTTGCCCACCACAACTCCACCCAAGAGATTTAAGTGTTTGGCCTGCTCAATTAATTTGTTTAAGGATTCCATGACCAAAATAAACAATAGAGGAGAAAGAGGGTCGCCTTGTCTTAAACCTTTGGAAAGAAAGAGGAAGGTCCTCCGTAAATCATAACAGCTTTGCTGTTATGATTAATCTAACAGTTTGATTCTATGCAAACACCCAAACTCCTCAATTTAGATTTGGAAAAAAGGCAATCTAGAGGTGCAAAAACCATATATTTCATTAATCTAACAGTTTGATTTTGTCATGTTGAAAAGCTTCTAACGTACTTTCTCCATAAAATCATATGGGAAAATTTGACTTTTCAAGCATATTATGTAAATCAACTAGAAGCTTAGATTCTGATTTGAGCTACAAGGCTTAATATGGACTTTCACCACTCCATGTGAGATTAATTACAAATCCTTATTACCCACAAGAAACATGGACTGATCATTTCATCAAATAAATGGCTACCTGTTCTCATTTACGATCAGAATGCCCAAAAAACCAAACATAAAACTCGTACAGATGCGACCTAACGACTCATGAGCAAACCTAAGCTGTGGTTTCCATTCTTTCAACAAACTTATTTTTATATATTGGCAAACAGATTTGAGGATAATCTTACAGAAATCAAGCGAATAATATACTCACATTAGCATACTGACAAAGAAAATGCATCTGTCATGCGTCATTTTTCATAGAAAAAGAAAACCATCATATAGAGAGAACCCGACCCCATATCCTTCTGCTGCTTTCAAATTCAATTCTATTGCAAACAACATTTTCATACACAAATCAAACACGGAAAAGAGGGAACGAGACTATACCGTTCTCCCGATAACAGAAGAGTCGAACTTGTCTCCCCTGAAATTTCCTTGTTTCTTCGTTCTCTTCCTGTTTCTTTCTTTCTTCAGCTTCTTTTCCTCGGTTTCTCCTCCCTCGGATTTTTCCTTTATCGAGCCGGATAGCCTCCCTTTTTTGCTTCTCAGTTTGACGCTCCTGATTTCTCCTCACTCTCGGCCTCGATGTGTTTTGGTCGCATCAAATCGACGCTTCTCCTTTCTTCACACTGCTGATCTTACTGAATCAGAGACACGACGCAAGCAATGTTCCCGCGCCTCTCACCGTCTCCCCGCGTCTCTCCTGGTTTCTTCTCTATGGTTTAGACTCTTGATATGTGGCTTCCGCCACGTCGGCTTGCGTTCGTTCCCTCGACGCTTTCTTCTTTTCAGAGTTGGGCCGGCAGTTAAGTAAGAAAGAGGCTGGGCTTGGACTTAATTTTGGGTTTTAAAAGGGCTGAAGGAGTTGGATCGACGCCACTTTCCTCTTCCTTCATTTTTTTTTTTTTTCTTTTTCTTATCTCGTTCTTTATATTTGCAATTATTTTGATACATACAATTTAATTAAATTTATGTTCCAATAGCGGGTAATGCCAGCTTAGGCAGCGGCCGGAAGAAGAGATTGGGGGGTTGGCACATGATTTTTGCGGTTCAATTTAATTATGAAAACAAAAGGGCTGACGGCGTATGCTGCTGTTGTTTTACCATGTATGGGGAAGCAGAGGCTTTTTGCATGTAAACAATAACATCAACGTTTTATCAATTATATATATACATACACTGAAATTAATTTTGTTTTACATCATAACCCATAAGTGATCTTACACTTTTTTTCTTTTAATTATCAAAGTTTATGTTAGAAAGGTTCATTTCTTAACTTTTCTGATTAAAAAATTTAGCCATTATGAAATTCAATTTAGTTAATATTATAATCTTTAACATCATTCAACTCGTAAAGAAGCAAGAGCCGGATCATATCGATTTGGCATTATACATCTAGTTGGAGTGTGTTAAAACCCATTGGTCATTACACGAACTAGACGCTTTGTCCTGTCAAATATTCAACAACAACTATTTTGCTGGCACTATTAATACCATTTAATTCTAAAGATGGTCCATCATTTTTTTTTTTTTTTAATTTAAGTATTGAAATATTGTTTAATTAATCTACCCACTACAAATCAACATATATTAAAATGATTTATTTTTTTTAAAAAAATTTTAAAATGCAACGTGTGTATAATATTCAATGTATATATTGATTGAATTAAACATTTCATGAACATATTTTATATTCACCGAATATATTACGTATTATCATGACCCTGCCCAGATGATAATTAAAGTTAATTTAGAAATTAATTAATTAATTAATTAATCAATCATTCAAATAAGAAAAATATTATAACCGATGGGTTGGCGAGTTTGATGGTGGTGTAGACCGTATGAAAGTAACGAACCAATTTTTAATGCGCTATAAATGGGGCGGGGGGAGGACGCAAGTGATTTCGACACATTCAATTCATAGGTCCACCACAATCACCAATTTCTCCACTATTATTTTGTCTTCACAAATTCTCTACCATCTTCTAACAACATCAAGCATTTCTTTTTGCCTTATCTTCTTATTTACACTTCTTAACCCACAGGAGTTTAAAAAACGGAAAGTAAAAAAAAAAAAAAAAAGTTATATAATTAATTACGGTAAGTAATTAGATAAATGTCAAATCACGGTAAATATTTCCCCATTTCGTACAACTGCAAAAAAAGTTAACCCACGGAAATGGCTCTGAAACTTCCGCTCCTTGACTCTCAAACTCTGACTGTCCAACTACGAAGATTTTTCTTTAAGGAAAAAAAAAAAAAAAAAAAATGAAAAATAAAAAACGTGCCCACCAAAGCATACCCCATTTAATTTAATTTTCCACGTTACATTTCTTATGTACTCCTTTTCTTCTTCTTCTTCGCAATTCTATTCAAATATACCAGTCAGAGAGCGACTCTGGAGTTTGACATACCTCGAGAAAAAGGAAAAAACAGATCAACAGTTTCAGCTTCCTCAACATAACCTCCACGTCTCTCTCTAACTCCAATCTATCAACACTACGTGTTCATTAAAGCCGACTGGTTGTTTTTTTAGTTGTATCAACCATCCTAAACCCAACAAATCCTGTTCTTCTTTTCTTTTTCGTTATAAAAAATATATATTTAGATCCGTCTAGTTTTCTCATTGGTCAGTCTTCTGTTTCGGATATATACCCACTTCCCCTCGTCCCTGACGGCTCCGTCACAATCAGCCATTTGGAATTACTCTTTCTTCTTTCTACAACTCCTTAACTAAAACTACCTACCATGAGTACAGAATCCAGTAATGTAGCAGGAGTTACAATCCCGCGGCAATCCAGGAGGCTGCCGGATTTCTTGCAGAGTGTCAATTTAAAGTATGTCAAATTGGGTTACCACTACCTCATAACCCATCTCTTGACCCTCTGCTTGGTCCCTTTAACGGCTGTCATTATCGCTGAAGCATCACAAATGAACCCGGATGATCTTCACCAACTCTGGCTCCATCTCCAATATAATCTGGTCAGCGTCATCGTCTGCGCCGTTTTTCTCGTATTCGGATCCACGGTCTACATCATGACCCGGCCCAGATCCGTTTATTTGGTTGACTATTCATGCTATCGCCCTCCATCTCATTTACAAGTAAAGTTCCACCAGTTTATGGAGCATTCGACGCTCACCGGAGATTTCGATGAATCGTCTCTTGAGTTTCAGCGAAAGATATTGGAGCGTTCTGGGCTTGGAGAAGAGACTTACGTGCCGGAGGCTATGCATTATATCCCGCCAAGGCCGTCAATGGCGGCGGCGAGAGAGGAGGCGGAGCAGGTGATGTTTGGTGCATTGGATAATCTGTTTGCTAATACTAATGTGAAGCCTAAAGACATTGGCATCCTAGTGGTGAACTGTAGCTTATTTAATCCAACGCCATCACTTTCGGCTATGATTGTTAACAAGTATAAGTTGAGAGGGAACATCAGAAGCTTTAATCTTGGGGGGATGGGATGCAGTGCTGGAGTTATAGCGATTGATCTTGCGAAAGATATGCTGCAGGTTCATAGGAATACGTATGCTGTTGTTGTTAGTACAGAGAACATAACACAAAATTGGTACTTTGGTAACAAGAAGTCCATGTTAATACCAAATTGCTTGTTTAGAGTAGGGGGAGCCGCAGCTTTGTTGTCTAATAAATCTGGGGATAGGTGGAGGGCCAAGTATAAGCTTGTACATGTAGTGAGGACCCATCGCGGGGCGGATGATAAGGCATTTAGATGTGTACATCAGGAGCAGGATGATAATGGGAAAACCGGCGTTTCCTTGTCCAAGGATTTGATGGCGATTGCTGGTGGGGCGCTTAAGACTAATATTACAACTTTGGGTCCTCTTGTTCTTCCAATAAGCGAACAGCTTCTCTTTTTTCTCACTTTGGTGGCCAAGAAGTTTTTTAGTGCCAACATCAAGCCTTATATCCCTGATTTCAAGCTGGCTTTCAATCATTTCTGCATTCATGCTGGGGGCAGGGCTGTGATTGATGAGCTTGAGAAGAACTTGCAGCTTCTACCCATACATGTTGAGGCATCTCGGATGACTCTGCATCGTTTTGGTAACACTTCTTCAAGCTCTATCTGGTACGAACTGGCTTACACAGAGGCAAAGGGGAGGATGCGGAAGGGTAACCGCGTTTGGCAGATTGCTTTTGGAAGTGGCTTCAAGTGTAACAGTGCTGTTTGGGAAGCTCTCCGCAATGTAAAGCCTTCTTCTAACAGCCCATGGGAAGATTGTATCCACAGGTATCCTGTGCAGATTGCTGTGTAGTTTAATATATTAGAAAAGGTAAAAGAACACATTAACTAGGCAATGGTGATGGTGTATCGTTGTTATGGTATCTTGTTCTTTTGTTCCTATAATTTGTTGATTTGTGTTGGAAATCTCATGTCTTTCGTGTCTGGCCCTCAAACTGTGTGGAATAGCATAAATGCTTGAAGCGTGCTTCATGTACTCCTCTGCTTTATAGCTCTTATGTATAATCAATCCAGGTGGTTGTATCCCATTATGGTGTCTGCAATCTTCAATTGTGCATATAAAATTTACATGTTAAGGTACAAAACCTTGGTATATGGCAAGTGCTGGACTTACTGACTCATATTCTGACCAAGTATTTTTCTTTTCTCATTTTATTTGCTCATGCTTCTCTTATAGCTACAATATATTATATGGTTTGAGAACGTTTAGGCGTTTTTGTTAATTGTGTGATTCATATTTGTATTTTGGGGCTTTATCGACCCTCCAAACCAGAAGGCATTATAAGTGTCATAGAAAATTCTGCATCGACACGTGATGTTTGCTACTTGTTATCCGCTGTGTCTTGTTATTAGAGAGATTTGATATATTTATTCTTTAGTTGTGTATCGTATTAATGGTTTTAATAGTGTACAAGTCACAGTATCCACGGGACCATAATGCTTTATCAGGTGTACTGAATAATTGAAATTTAAACATTAATCAAAAGCATAAAAAACAGAACAATTTTCTGAATCCAATAACTAGAGTACATGAAAATTTCATCCGTTAAATCATTAAAGTTTGGATTGAAGTGTAAAAATCAAGAGTAGATAGTGAGTCTGCAATTGTAGTATTTTCAGTTAATCCATTCTTTGCAACTCTCTGCATTTAAGATTATATGTTTTGTTATATTCTAGTTTTAATCAATTATGATATGACACACTCGTATATATTTAAAACTCAGATAATGGCAAGAGTACAAGAGCAATGAACCAGGTTCATTTTGAGAAAGTCGAAGCATTGTTTGTTAATGGTGTGCTAGTTTTTTAACAAAATTTTCTCCGTACAGCCCAATTTCCAATATTGGATTGCATAACAACACATATCATCGAACAAAATTTTCTTAAATACATGATTCATGAATTATTATTATCAATGTTTTATTTTGTTAGTATTTATTTAAAACTGACTATAAATATTGTTAAAATATTTGTTTTTATTTATAATTTGGTATAAATAACAATAAAAATATATATATTTTTAATTTAAAAATTAAAAGGGTTTAGTAAAAATAATATTTGAGATTTTAAGTATAAATTTTTAATTAAAATAATATTTGAGATATTCGACGGAATGCATGGTAAGTTAATCCAAACAAATCAGTGTGGGAGACGTTTATCATTGGTAGGCCACCAACATAATAGTAATCTTGTAAAGTAATTAATTGATATAGTTATTATGCAAAGTGAAGGAGTATATATATATATATATATATATATGTAGTGGTGATCTTCGATTAATCATTAACGGGCTGCTTTGGAAATAAAGCAGAGAGTTACATTAAGAATGTGAATAGGGACTAACTTTTGCTAAATCACATCAAAACACAAGTTGGCTCAATTAATTTGTAAAAGTTATTTTAGTCAATATATATATATATATATATATATATAAATGTGAGGCCTTCGTTTATGGAACTGAATGCAGAGGACTGAAACTGAAAAAATTTAGAGTTTAGTATTTATCTAAATACGGATAAGACATCTCTTGTCACCTTTATTTTTTAAATGTTAACAACTAATTAATTTTTTTACCTTATAATATTAGCTCAGTGCTGGGGTCTCCCATATTGCTGTAACCCATATAATTCATACTATTATACACTACTAATACTTAAATATATATGTGTATATATATATATTGTGATTATAAAACCAGGCCCTTGGTGTCTTTCTTCTTCTTTATGATTACCCCAAAACCCTGATGCATGTGACATTGTCTCTCCCGATTCATCTAATAATTTTACATTTATTTTCTTTCCTCTTATCCACTAAGGGAACCGTACAAATTAATCTGAATATATATACTTATTTTTGGCTTCTTTGACTTTGTGAATATTAATGAACGTACGATACTAACTCGATCTAATTACTCTTTGCAAGTGAACTCCTGAGCATATTAATATATTCTTAGAATTTATTAATTTGAACAAGTCAACTTAAATATTGCAAAGAGAGTAAATAATTATGAGATGCTGGGTTTGTGGCGATGGTGGTGAAGCAGGTTTCATTCTGCAACTGGCAAATGCTGTCTTTGACCGATACTCGTATATAAATATATGTTTATAGTTCGGGAATAGTGTCAGTGCATGCATCCATGCAATATTTTGTGATATAACCCGTTGAAAAGAAAGTGCCCTTTCTTCTCTTGTCTCTATCTATATTCTTATCTTCAACACTCACTTAAAAGAAAAAAGAAATCTGATATCTCGATCTCATAATTAATACGTATATGTATATAAAAGAAGATTTCTAAGAGAATACAATTTGAAACCATCTGGTAGAGTTTAAGAAGAAGAAGAAGAAGAAGAAGAAGAAGAAGAAGAAGAAAAGAAAAAGAAGGTGGTTTTATTTATGGGGGTTTGAATTTGGAATCAAGTCACGTGTGTAGTCTTTTGAGTGATTCTTGTTTCGTTTCAACTTTTTGTGCAGTGAAATGGTATTGGCCCAATTCCGAAAAGATTTGAAAAATCAAGAAATATTCAAATGATTCATCACGGGTCTGGTCTGCTCTACCCTCTGCAACATCTAATCTCATCACAACATCTTCTTCTTCTTCTTCTTATATATATATATATATATAAATCTTTGAAAAAATGGGTAAGAATGTTATGATTAACCGAATTGAAATTGAATGGGTTGCTTTCGGTAGCTTTTTACGAGGGATTAAAAGGGGCAAAAAGTAATGGGCCCGTCGGGGCTCTGTTTTTGTGGTGGCGGTCAGACCCAACAGCTAACAAAAGCAAAACATTAGATCCAATTCAAGTGGATCCAACAGCTAAGTTTTTTTTTTTTTTTTTTTATTTGATTCATTCGTGTGTATATCAACCATGGTAATTACAATACCATTTCAATTATTTTGGTGCGTATGTCATATGTTTTTAATGAATCTGATTTATTATAAATTCTAAAAATGGTATTATGGGATCCAGAAGATAAGGTAGTTGGAAGCCTTAATTTTGTGGTACATATATATTTCCAAATCATATTAATTTTCTGAGTTTTATATATATATATATATATATAAAGAAAAAGTGGGTGCAAGTGGCATGACCAGAGAGGAGGTTACTGTTGAGAATGGCATCAAACGTCAGGTGGTTGGAACTTGGGCATCCATTTTCATCTCCACATATTTTGTTTTTTCCTCCCGAAATATAATTAACTTTTTCCAAAGATATTTTAAACTAATTAATAGTTCACGATCAAAATTACGTAAAACATTTACACCTTCTGCATGTACATACATATTTATATATAAAACTACAAGATAGGATGATATATATATATATATATATATGTGCCGAGTTATGGCCCAGCCCCAAGTCCCATAACTAAAGCTTGCCCATAATTAATTGATTATATAGATACGTATTAATACGCCCCTACGCTAACTCTTCTCATGGTACAATTATATATTTTGGTGTGAGGCAGCAGGCAGCTAGGACCATGGCACCTGGCACTGGAAAATTTCCCACATCGACGTCTGGCCCATTAAGCACATGAAGGAGCACATACTTATTTTCTCATTTGGGTCAATAGAATTTAATTTTACCGCGCAGAAATGAGATTTTTATTCTGATTCCAAATTATTTATATAATTAATTACACGTCTTGTTCCTCGTGCAATTTGTATGCTTTTACACGTTTGGAGACACACATGATGTGATTACACACTCGCGATAAATTCCTTCAGATTTAAGGAATCTAATGAGTTCGAAGAATCTCAATATTTTCAGTTTTGCTAAAAATAGTTTCCTCATATATATACACACACACACGTACATATTCTAAGTACACAGCTTATGGTTTTACTACAACATAACAAGTTTAAATAATTCTTTTACATCACATATATCTACATATATATATATATATACACACACACACACATATGGTTTGCTTATTAACTGGGTACTTTTCAATAAGTAGGATTGATTTAAGCAAGCCAAAATTGTGTATGTACATATATATATATATATATATAAGTATACACACACATTATTAAAGAAGACAGAGACATATGTATTGGTTGGTGCAATAAAAGAGTGAAGGCAGCCCATAGAATGCATCTGTATATGATTAGAAATGATAACCGAAAGTGGAATGGAGCAATGTGAGACAGAACAGCTTCCGAGGACCCAATTACTACCCTCTCGGCTGCCTTTCTCCATATTATATTATATGCACGCATTATATAATTAATAAACAAACACGTATATAATAAATAACATTAGAGGGCCTGCAAGAACTAGGATTCCATTAACATCGGATCTGCTGCAATCTTGCATTGCCTCCTTATCCATCCCTTGCCCTAGCTCTTCCATTATTAACATCTCATGAAAGATAAGATATATATATGAAGATTTCGTATATAGTTTTTAATTTTAAAACTGGGTTTTCATGTTATGGAGAAAGCCAAGCCACATTTCTATTATAACGTGGTGACAACAACCCCATATATATATATATTTATATATATATCACATGCATTTAAAATTTTCTACTTTCATTTTCTTCTTCCGAGACAAAATATTTTTTTACATTCGGGTGGCTTAATCATAAATAGGATGCCATCAACCCCTCAAACGATTTGGGTTGCATGCATGGCACGCATGTTTTCAACTTTAAAAAATGAAACTTATAAAAAAAAAAAAAAAAAAAAGAAAAGATGATGGTTATTCGTATCGTATATATGTATGTATGTATGATAGTCTTGTACTTTACGATTTTTGTTTTTCTTTTTCTTCGGAATCTAGTTTTTGGACCACAAGTGAATGATGTTAAGGAGCAAGAAAACAGACTGTTATGATGTCTCATTCCGAATCATGTCCTTCTCACTAATTAATTATATGCAAATTGGGTGGCGGAAGATTAATAATCTTGAATTTAGTAGAATCACACTCTCATACGTACAGCTATAATTATATAATTGGGAATGTAATCCGTTTTACACGAGTAAAGATTATTGAAAAGGCAATATGATTATATATGTTCATAAAATAGTATAAGAAATAAAAAATTTTTATAAAGTGGAAAGTGATAGCGAGAAGAATAAAACGAACCCACTTGCTTTTAGTTGTAGACTATATATATATATATATATATATATATATAAATAAAAGGTCATTCAAGTAGCTAGTAGATACTTAGATTGAGTTTATTAATTAATTTATCTGTTTAGTAGTAGATACACACAATTAAGATTAATATATTTAGTAGATTGTATTATATATATATATATATCTTCAAAATTACAATAAAAATAATTTGCAAATACGAATATGCAAAAAAAAAAAAGTAATTGTTGATATTATATATACATATATAAACCCCAAACCCATCAATCATTTTGGATTAGTGTAAAACCAAACTACATCTTTCTTATTATTATTATTATTATTATTATTTTATTTAAAGACTTAAAAGCACACATCTACTGGCCTAATTCCTTATTAAAGTTAACTATAACGACAAAATTAAAGACAACATCATATTTAGTGCTTAATTAATTAAGCACTAAATAAAACAAAAAGGTTTATGATCCTAAAGTAGTCTCCTTCCTCACTGACTTAAAATCTGATCACCTGCATATGTATATGTATGGAATCAGTCAAAGTTTGCTATCAAATCTTGTACAGAAATTGATTGAATTGCTTTGGCGTTCGGTGTACAATTTTCAGTTTGTTTGCTTGTTTATTATTATTATTATTATTATTATCATCAGCTTTTCTGAGGAACAATGTACATTATTTTTGCACGAGACATATGATAATAAGAAACTTTACTTGAATTTAAAACCAAAGTGTTTCTATTTTTAGAAGCGCCTGATACAAGTCCTTAATACACGTAAAACAAATATTCTTATTTAGAAATACCCCCATGTCAGTTGCCACATAATCAAATGACGTGTCAGGTTGAAAGAATCAATGACCGACACGTGTAAGAACCCATGTGGATGATGACTTAAACTCAACTTAGGCCGAGCTTTCCGCCATCCTTCACGGGGAGAAACCCAATCATCTCTCTTGTGAGTTCCCATGTATTCTTTCTTTTTATAATTAGATAGAAATTTCGAGCTGTGGTCAATTAAAATTAACATCTAATCGATTAAATTAATTAGAGATTAATTAATTTCTTTTAGGAAAAAAAAAAAAGACCGTCAGCGACAAGCAACAGCTGCTGCTGCTGCTGCTGCTGCTAGTAACAAATGTTTTTGTAGTTGAGGCCGTTTTTCCGTGCTTCGGACACGCCCACGTGGCGGTCATGTCAGTGGGTCCCACCGGAAGACGGTCTATGGTTATGGATACGTCCGATGCCTCTCTCCTCATAATAATTACTCCCATTTTCTATTTGCTATTTTATTTTATTTTATTTTTCTCTTCTCCTCTCTCTATATTTTATATACCCCACCTCTCTCTCTCTCTCTCTCTCTCTCTCCCTCTCCCTCCTTTTATACCTTCTCTTCCTTCTCAAAGTAATATAACTCCTTAATTTGCAGCACAAACCACCTTGCGTACACAAGCTCGCACATATATACACGCACATCTCTCATCTTTCTATATATATGTACACACGTATGTTTATTATATCTACAATAACTGCCCACGATGAACTCGTGCTTGACATGGATCCGTATACTACCTCCCCTGTAATCCTCCATTAGTACCACCATCCATTGCCACCATTATTAGTTATCTCCATTAGGACTGGTGCATCAGATCCTCTTTTGGGCTTTTGGTTCTGTGGGGTATTCCTTATTGTTTCTTTTCCTTTCTTGTATACATTTTCTCTTTCCTTGTCTATTTTCTTCTGGGTTTAAAGAGGAGGAGTTGGAGTTTGTTTTAATTAATTGATTCGTAGAGTTGGTGATGAATAGAGGGGGTTTACTACCACAGATGTTGCACTGTACGGACATGACAGTACTGGAAAGGCAAAGAGCTCGCTTGAAATGGCAACAAGACCAGCTTCAACCTGACCAGCAACAACAGGAGAGTCGTTTCAGCGACTTCAATGGGCTGTTCTCGATGCCCGCACAGGCGACTCAAGTGCAGAATTTTCAGGGGGGTGTGCTGGCCGCTCATGATCCGGCGTTGGCCGATGTCGTCACCCGCTCGGTGAAGCCTGACCCGGCTTTGCTAACCGGCTGGACCGACTTGGGGAAGACTGTAGAGCTGCGCGCTGGTATGGAGTTCTTGGGGCCTTGTGCGTATAGCAATTACTCGGGTCTCGAGATGAATTATAGCATTTCGAGGACTTCTAGCTGCCCGCCTGCGGTGGCCGCCGCTGTGGCCATGGAGGCAGTGGAGGCAAAGCCTAAAGGATCGATTTTGTCTGAGAAGGTGAGCGCAACAACGGGTAGAGACAGCTTCAAGAAGAGGAAGGTTGATAAGATGCTAAACGCAAAGGTTTGGACTTCGAACATAAACCCAATTATGTTATAGTTTCTTGCTCTTGATTTTTCTTTTTCTCCTTTTTTTTTCCTTTTTTTTTTTTCGTTAAAAAAAAATCCACAACGGAAAACATGAATTCTGAAAGTGGTGGGTAGTGTGAGCTGAAAGCTTCTATGAGATGATTAATGGTGGTCCTCAATTTGATGGTGTCTAGATTGCTGCCGAAGATGAAGGAAAGGAGAAGAAGATGAAAGCGTGCGCGGAAGAAGGAGACTCAAAGGTGACAGAGCAGAGTAACAAGAAAGAAAAGTGTGGTGATACATGTAAGGAGAATTCAAAGGCTTGTGAGGGTCAAAAGCCTGATTACATCCACGTGAGGGCTCGTCGAGGTCAAGCCACGGACAGCCACAGCTTAGCAGAGAGGGTGAGTGGTGCAGGCAGTGGTTTCTCAATCTGTGAGGCTTTGGAATATTTGAATATTAACATGTATATATGGCAGGTAAGAAGAGAAAAAATCAGTGAGAGGATGAAGTATCTGCAAGATTTAGTACCAGGCTGCAACAGAATCACTGGAAAGGCAGGGATGCTTGATGAAATCATTAACTATGTTCAATCTCTTCAAAGACAAGTGGAGGTAATTCCTCATTTTTGTTGAAAGATAAGCAGAATTTTGTTTATTTCTCTACTGATGATGCTGTCATCATAAAACAGTTCTTGTCAATGAAATTAGCTGCTGTGAACCCAAGACTTGACTTCAACATAGACAACCTGTTTGCCAAAGAGGTTGGCCACTCAACCTGGTTGAATTTAAGGAGCCTTATTAACAGTATCTAAATTCTAACTCTTAAGATTCTGGATTGATTAGCAGGCCTGCACAAGTAATTTCTCTACACTTGGATATGTTGACTTTAATCCTTGTGGAGTGGAAATGGGAATGAACCCTGGTGCTGACATGGGGCTGAGAAGAACTATCAGTGCCCCTGTGGAGACATTTCTTGATTCATCCTGCTTCACTGTAAATGATTCTGCCCTTACTATATAAATGTATTATGTGTGAGTGCATCGAGTTAAACTTGTTTTTCAACGATGCAGCAAATTCCTTCCACATGGGACGTTGAGTTGCAGAATGTTTACAATAATATAACATTTGACCATCAGATTTCCTTTCCACCTCAGCCATTCACAGGTAGATAGATAGAAGAGTCAAGCTTATTAAGGCAGAAAATGGGTTTTAGTTACGAATGAAAACGACCCTACTTTCTCTTGATGACTTTTAAGAGGAAGTTTCATTTTTTAACTACACTTTTCCTCTTATTACCAGACAACAAACAACTCTTCCTTACCTTATATGGCTTTTAATAATGTTCTGTTAAAAGTTGCAGCAATGAAAGCTGGTGTTGGGACTAATTTATATATGTGTTGCAGGTTCTATTGAAGGTAGCAACCTAAAGATAGGGATCTGAATGAGGAAGATGTACACATATATATATATATATATATGTGGAAGGATCACCAGCAATTGTTTGAAGGAGTATTAATTCTTTTTTCTTTTTGGGTAGTACAAGTACATAACGTATATATTTTTGTATGTGTATACTCCAGACATAGTATGAATAAGATTGATACGTATTATCCTCATAACTAGTGTGAATATGTAGAGGTTTTGGATGGATGGCGATGGGTTTGGGAGGAGGGGACCAACCAAAGAATTATCTTGGTTGGACTCCAACCACAAATTACTAGGGGAGGGGAAAAAGATTAATTTAATATTAAATTGGTCGGAAGACAAGACAATTGGATTCTGGTGAGATCATAATCTCATACAAATTAAATTTCTTATTACACACAAATATTATTCACTGGGATGGACATGTTCTATCATTACATATAATCTCTTCTCTTTTTTTTTTTTTTCAAAAAAAAAAAAAATTACCCGTCCGCTGGGTTGCGGCTACGGAGGAGAGAAGGGACCACCGTAAAGGCCGTCCTTTTTCAAGTCCATATGCAATAGGCAATGGGTGAAATCGGTGGGCCTGCCAAGATCTCTTTGATTCTCTTTGTTTTCCATGGATAATGATATATGATATTGCCTTTTCTCTTTCTTGGTCCCATCCCCCATTTCATCAAAATTAATTTAGTTTCCCTATTTGTATACCATATAAATATATATTACTAAAACACTCTACAAATCTTTTTCCATCTAAATCTATATATTATATTTTGGTCTATTTTTTGCCATGTACTTTTGTAAATTTGTAACAATTCAATGGGTTGATTGTTAACAACTGGGCACATGACCTAGGACGTATTAAAATTGAATCTATAAAAATTTAAAAATATATGACTTAAATAGACAAAGAAATAATGTAAAAATTTAGGTGACAAAAAAAATCAAATGGTTCTATTCTTTTTATTTTTGTTAATCAAAAGTATATTTTTGCTTTTTGCAAAGTAAGCATATGAATTAGATTGGACAAGAAATTAAGACAATTTTTAATTAAAAAAAAATATATATAAACTTTTTCAGTTTGTTGAGTTATTCTATCTATTTGGAACAATGCTTCGAACAGTTTTACTAATAGAATGATAAATTAAATCATATATTCTATTGACTCAAATATTACCATCATAGGCTATTTTGGCCTAAATATTTTAGTATAATTTGTTTTCCCTCTCACAAACCTTCACAGACTGGGAATTCCAAGAAATAAAGAAGCTAAAATCTACAAAGATTCCCTCTCTCTCTTTTTTGCAATTGTACATGAGAAAATATGTTTGGATGCAGTAGAAGCACCCAAGTGTATGTCTTTACCCCATAATCTGAAAACAGGCATGATGACAGAGAAAAAACAAAAGACACTTGTAGAGTTCCCAACTTATTTTTCATGTTGGGTTTTGGTATGACTAATGAAATATCTATCCAATCCTACTTGCTCCCCTCAATTATCTTTAAGAAGAAAAGCAAATGCCTACCCCTTTTTCTTTTTTTTGACAAAATGGCTTGGGGCAACTTTGTTTTCCACAAATTGAAATTATTGAATTTCGAATGTCATACGGACGCCAGGCCGCCCATCTAATCTAAAAGTGCAGTAAGGGGGTTACAGCTGGGAGACTAGTGTCTCATCCCCAATCTTCCAACTCTTCAGTTACCAAGTCACTCTGTTCCATATTCTCACATAACATCCAAAAACCATTTGCTCGCTGGCTGCCTCCATTAACAAACTTCCTTTAGCTATAAATGAAAACATTACCGAAAAATCCACAGATTCATCTACAAACCAAAATCACTGATACAAATACAATAAAGCATTAAACCGCAGCTTCTCATCCTTTATTTTGTTAATTCCTTTAAACCAAGGACTCATCTGCCGGAAAAAAAAAAAAAAACAAGTTCATTATTAGCACCCTCATTAGCCCAAGAAACAATGGTCACAATAGAGGAGTACCTTTGCCCGGAACAATAATAACAGGAGCAGATTTGCAGTTGTGGAAGCAATACTCGCTCACGCTTCCCTGCAGTACACTGCCAAAAAGATTGAAAAACAATTGTTAAAAAGTTTGATGAGCGAGTAGCTAATTACAATGCCGGAGAGAGAACCTCTGTAGTAAGCTTCTCCCTCTAGTGCCCATCACAACAGCCGCTGGCTTTACCCTCTCCGCTTCCTTGCAGATTACCTTACCCGCATCTCCTTCTACAATTCTAGCCACTGTCCTCACCTGATAACCATACAAACGTCACTATGAATTTCTTTTTCTTTTTCTTTGCCAATCAGAATTTGATATCTCAAATTCACGTTTCTGCATATAATCATGGTAACGTGCCATCGGGACCTTGCCGAAAGAAAAGGATTAACCTGGTGCTACTGCAACAACTTTTATTTCCTTAACCTCTTAACTATCTTTAAGTACAACTCTTGTGATAGAATTTTAATGCGTGCTGAGTACTTGTATGTCTGCTCTCATTACTGAATAAGTAAAGAATTTAGGATTTTCTCCCTCAATTCTCTTTTCTATCACCATCCTTCTTCTCCTTCTTCTCCCCTCTCTTCCTTCTCTTCTCCTCTTCACATTGTGGTACCAAAACACTTGGATCCTGATGAGACCCTTTCATCTATCACCGCCATGGCAAAGAACAAAGGCAAGGCTGCTACATCAGATCCTAAGTGCTTCTAGTAGCTTGATGAATCTGTCTAGGCCTTCGACCAGAAACCCACATTCTTCATGATTGAGGTTTACGGATCCTTGAAGGTGAACACCACCAAGGTCCAGAATCGTGAAACGCAGCAGGAAAACCATGAACATTTGGAGCAATGCTTCGAACAGGTGATAGACGTGCGGTGCAGATTATGCTTAGACCTTGAAATCAACTCAACCCTGTATCTCCCATCGGGCCTGCCTCTTTCACTAATTAGGGAAATACTTTCTAATCCTTTAGAAACAGGAAGCAAGGATAATAGCAATAGTATGGGAACTACTCGAAGTAGCAAGGAAAATAATGGACCTGGAATAGGAAATCCTTGTGTTGGAAGGAGAAAATTTTAGGGCATGGGCAAGGATACGTCAAAAGTGCTTCCAAGTATATATAGTACCAGATTATCATACTTGCAGAGCGCAGCTGGTAACCTTGTTCTTCGGTGAAAAAGCTGATACATGGTATTAGGGTCGGCAAGCTCAACAAATAAACTTTCGTTGCAAATATATTTTTGAAAGAGGTATGCAAGTGTTTCATGAGGCCTCTGTCTTGGATGTGATAGGGGAGTTTAATAATTTGACATGAAAGGGAATTGCTCGTATACATCAGCAGAGCAGACGTTTGAAGAGCTAAAATTTCTAATGCTTAGAAATTAAAAGTAATTGAACCCTTTTGGTACCATATTTTATATGTAGTTTTGTCAGTGACCTTAGTGAAGAATTAAGGCCAGTGATAAAAAAGTGCTTAAGCCAGTTGCAATAGAACCAAGCCATTTGCAATAGAAGCTATAGTCAAATGCCTCAAGATCACCTCTCAGTATATAGCTACCAATAGCCAACCTTCCAACAGCATTACTCCTGACACCAAAAATGAAGCATTCAAATCTGTAAACCCCGGTGTTGACTCATCAACCAAGCCTTCCAATACCACTTATACCAAATCCTATAAACCCTCATGCAACCATAAATGAGCACCTCCACTTGCAAACCAAGAATCCCAAAAACACTACTCAAGTTCCTGCTTTAAATGCAAACTTTATCTCAACAAGGAATTGCTACTTCAGATGCAATGTTGTAAAGGTAAATAATTATTCATATTGGATGATGTTAAGGAGGAAGAAGAGATGGTACTGCAGATATTGATCAGGAAGCGGTGAAAGAGGAAGGAACAGGGATATATCATCGTATTGAAAGAAGGGCCATGAAAATGCTAACATTATCAAGTTAAAAGATTAGTCTTGTTCTTGACTGATTGTAGCGGCACTGACACGTTTATGGGTGAATGGTTGGTGAAAATCTGTAGTGGCAAATGGCCAAAGAATAAGTGTATGGGGAATGACACGGTTCGTGCAGGGAATGGAGTTTGATTACCTATGCGGAGTACTAGACTAGGAGGGACTATGATATGGTTGCTGGATTGAATTGGATGAAGAGGCACGACACTGTTCTACTTGACTTTATAAATCCCACAGGGGTGATAGAAGAGTTGAATTCAAGGAACTGCCAATCAAGGAGGATAGAGAATATTATTGACAAACGGTCTAGAACTCTTGGCACATAAGGGTTGGCAAGGAGGGAGTAATCAAGTAATCTGTTATTTCTTACATGATTGAGCACAAGTTAGGAGGAGGAAAAGCGCCAGTATAGGGTTTTTTGAGAAGTCAAGCTCATTGAGGGAACATGACCATACCATATCCCTCAAACCAGAACTTGACGTATCAATTTAAGACTCCACCATTTCTCTAATTTTTATAAAGCAGAAACTGAAGAGCAAATTTCAGAGATAAGGAAAAAATTCCACTAACCATTCCAACTTGTATAGCCTCGACTGCGAGCTTCTCCATGAGGCCTTGGGCGGTGTCATAAAGAAGCTGGTTTTTCACACCTGACACGATGGGAATTCAGAATGAGAGAAGAAGAAAGTGAAACAAGCATACGAGAGAATGAAGATGGTTTACTGGAAACAGCGTGGACAAGGTGGATGGTGTCAGCAAGCCTGCAGAGGTGGATAAGAGTCCAATCGAAGGCGTGCTTGCTGTTGGGGCCATGATCCACCGCTATCAATATGTCTCTGCCTCTCCTCCTCTCCCCTGTCTCTCGCTCTAGCTCTGGCTCAGGTACTATGGGGATCAAGGATGGCAGCCTAACTTCTCTATAATTATACTCTTCATCCTCCATTACTGTCTCCATTTCGGGTCTGATTTTCGAACCGAGAGGTTGATTTCTAGAGGTATAAGAAATTATTGTGGGTTGGGATTTGAACTTTGGCAAGAGCAGCCAGGCCATATTGGTTTTATATTCCTTGGAAATGCGTGTTAGACTAGCGTACCTCAAGAAACACAAGGGGTAATATGGTATTCAATCAAAGAATGCATCAGGGATGAATTTACAGTAGTGACGTACGCTCCACATGGGCAGTGAGCCAGGTGATTCGTTAACTCGTCAAACTCATGTTAATGAAATGGATAAAAATATCTAATTAACAAGATATATATAAAAAAAAATTATAAATCCATATACACTTGTTATATATATATATATAATTAATACATTTTTAATTTTATTATAATTCTACTCAAATTAATTAATAAATATTTAATGTTATCTTTTAAGTATAATGTAAAAATCTTAATTATTAAAGGTATTTAATGACTTATCTCTCCATTATTAACATATACATTGTATTTTATAGTGTATTTGATTACAAAATATTTAATAATAATTACAATAAATTCTTGCAACTGATATATATATATATATATATTTTAATTTCTAGTTGTATTGAACCATCTATGAGATAGAGAATGGTTGGTTTCTCATCAAAGTTGGCAGCAACACAACCCTCTCGCAAAGGGGAAACTCATTTTGAAAAATTCTCCACTATCCTCTTTCTTCTATTGGGTTGGACAAAAAATGTCAGCTCCTTCTCCCTCCTTCAACCAAGTCATTCTGGATTTTATATTATGTCTTAGTAATTTCCACAATTCACATATCTGATTTCTAATTTCTCCTTGATTGATTTTGATCATACAAAACCAACCTGTATAGACTGCTTGTTACTTTTACAGTTTTCTTAGGCAAAATTTCCAGTATATTCTTTTGCCAACCTTTGAAATCATTGCTTAGGAATCTAAAATTATGTAATTCGGAATTATTATTTTAATTATATGATATTTCAATTGTTCTCCAGTTCTCTCTCTCATGTTTTGCTGCAGGCAACAATAAAATTTAAAATCACAATGTGTTTGGCCTCTGGATTAATCATTTTCTTTGACCAAATTCGAGATGTATAATAGCTTTCCTATATTCAAACTCAATTTTTGACATTCTAATGCAAAATTTGACAAGCTGTTGGTTTGATTCTTAGAGATAAAACTTTTGGAATGAAATTATAGTGTGGGATGTATGATAATGCATATAAATATTTATTTTTATAAATCTATATATCTTTATTCACAAGAATTTCACGTGCATAAAAACATAAGTTAATTCAAAAAATAAAAAAATAAAATATATATTTATGCCTCAATCGGAGTTTTATTCTCTAATAAAACATATAAACATTTTACTCTTTAAGAATAAAGTAAAATAAAAAAAATAAAAAAATATTATATATTTACTCTTTAGGAGACATCACTATAATATACTTAAAAATCATACTATTTCATGTACTCAATCCGAATGCCATCAATGGTCACATTGGTACAAGTTTTAGTTCTTGGTAATAATGTGATCCAAATGCTTTCATCTGCATCTGCCTCCAAATCTTCTAATAATTCTGAGATTCCTAATTTAAGAGTGTCTTTCTTCTTTGTCATTTCATAACCCTCTCGCTTATGAAATGATATACCACGAGGAACATGGACAAATGTTCCTGCGAATTCCCTAAATTGTGGACTAGCCACTGTATGATCAATTGCATTCACGTACACATCAAATTTCACATATTCATCTTGTTTGACATTGATTCCATAAACAACAATCACCTCTTCTTCCGCTTCTTTCTCTTTTTTGGTTCTAAAGATTTTAGGTCTCTTAACTTTCAATGTTAAGCTGTTGTTTAGTGGTTTACCGTATGGGATGAAGTCTGTAATCGATGGATAGTGGTTGGTTGACATGTTGGTGAGAATTTGACGAGCAAGCTTGGGTGGAATTGAAGGCTTGGGACGTGCATTAAGCCATGGTAGATAAGATTTTTCGTAGATATAGCCAAGTTTTGTTATGTTAAGGACATCGCATATTC